TAAAAAAAAAAAAAAAAAAAAAAAAAAAACTCTTTATTGGCAATGAGGAATTGAATTTCCTATGTAGCCAAATTAACTTCTAAACTAAAAGGGATACAAACACCACACAGAAGGTTAGGGTGGAGCCCTCTCACTCCAGTCCAAAGCTTTGTCAAAAAGCATCTCTCCTTTTGTGTTTCTACAGTCTCTTCCACTCCTGCTGGCATTACCACCTGGTTATTACCTACTCAGAAGGGTATATTTGCTCTGCAACTCTTAAAGCTATCTCAGTATCACAATTAAAGGAAAAGAAAATACAGGTGACTTCTAGAAGTGTTTAAAAACCACTTTGGGCAATTCTTGAAAAGTACGAAAAATCGGAAGGGTGAGCTGAAAACTTGGTTTTAAGTAAAAGACTTCTTTAAATAGATTAAATGATATGAATTGGCTTGGAGTAAATTAATATAGCAGGGAAGGAAAGTGAAGAGTCTGTCTTGTAAAGAAGCCAGCTTCATGGTCTTCTATGTTAAGTTTTATGTATCAGAATGTGTGTCACACAGATTTTCAAGTCTGGTCCTTACTTCTGAAGTTGGTAACTATACACACACAGCTCCAGTCACACAAGAAGTGATAAAATAGAAGTTTAAATTTTATTCAAACATAAATATGTCCCCATGTTCACTTTATTTTAATGGGTCAGAAGAACGAGGCAGAGGCCAAGACTGGAAACACAGTCAAGCTTCTCCATAAGCCGAGAAGTTAAAGCACCCTTCGGGGGGCAGAGGCAGAAATGTGTCCAGGAGACTGCCTCCAGCCACCGCGCTCTTGATGGAGGACCAGATGCCTGGCCCCAGAGCAGAAGGCTTTTTCCTTAGTATTTATAATTCATGAGTTTTCTTTTATATGTACTCATTTTGTTTTTTTGTGTATGGGTGTTTTGCCTGCACACATGTATGTGCACCACATTCATGGCTGATGCCTGTGGTGGTCAGAAGAGACATCGGATTCTCTGAACAAGTCATGCACAGTAGTGAGCCACTATGAGGGTGCTGGGAACCAAACCCAGGCCTTCTGCAAGAGCAACAAGTGCTCTTAACTGTTAAGCCATCTCTCCAACTCCATTTTTTTTTAAGTATGAGGAAACTATAAAGTTCCTTTTGATTTTAGTATTTTTATAGTTTGATGATTTCATAACCAGAAATGTCCCAGCACAAAGTGAGCTTTGAGTATCTATGCTGCAAACAAGCCTAGAAAGGCTTTGGGGGAAATCTTTGATCTTTAAGGAAAAATAAATAAATGGCCAACAATTTCCCTTCAAACACTAGTATTCGAAAAATAAACAGAAACCAACAACGAAAAATCAAATCCATTATTTTCATGGAGAATTCTTTCTGATTAAGGTATTGATTTGTTTTGTTGAGACATGGCTCAGCAGTTGAGAGGGCCTACTGCTTTTGCAAACCAGAGTTCTATTCCGAGCACCCATGTTGGGCACTCTTCTGTTTGTAACTCTAGCTCCAAGGGGTGGGGGAGGGAGTCCAAGCCCCTGACCTACTTGGCACTGCACACACACACACCCTCCACATACACATAACTAAAATCAAAATCTAAACAGCATGGATCTGGGGGAGGAAGGTATGAGTAGATGTCTCTTCTTTCCTTATAACAGTTCTTAGCTGTAGAAAGAGATACATTGTATGTAGCATCCCTCCCTTCCTCCCATTAAATGATGTTTGGAAATTCCTGTGTTAAACTAATTTGCCATGAGAAATATAAAGCCCTTGAATGGGATATCCAGAACCCATGGGATTTTTTTTTTTTTAACAGACACCATGTGGTGCAATCTGTTACAGTCTCCAAGGCTGGGTGGGGTGGGTGGCTCTGCAGGGGCCAAGAATAAAGTTATCTGTGGGAATTTGTGAAGTATTAACCAAAATGGGGAAATGGTTCAGATGCAGCCTTAAACACCTTTTCTTTGCCCTAACTTGTATAAGGTTTATTAGCTTATCTAAAAACAAAACAAACAAACAAAATCCTAAACCAAACTAGCCAGTCAGTCAATGCAGGGAGAACCAACAGAGCCTTTCTGGGAGGGTTACATTGTCACTCATTTTGTATTTTAATTCAACCTACTGGTGATTTAATTTACAGATCTCAAGGAAGTGTACACTCAAATATTTGAGGACAGTAATGTATCAACCACTGTTTAATTTTGGAATGTTCTTACTTACTTGACACAATATTTTACCAGCTAACAAATGTTTAGCCTTTTTTTCACTTGACTAAAGAAAAATAAGTTTCACATTGCTTCATTCACCTTCTTATGTGCATATGCTGGGAGACTGGATGTTTAAAAAAAAACCTTCCTCATGTTCCTTCCTACATTTAAATCTGTTTACCAATTTGGAGCTGCAAAGAAACCTGCATTTTCCTGCTAAATCAACTGGATGGCTGGAGCCCAAACTGTAATGTAACAGAAAAAATTATCAATTTGTTTTCATGACAGTCTTGAGAATGTATAAAATTGTCTGGCCGCTAAGTCAGCCTTCCTATTTCCTCCTTCCTCTGTCTTCTCTCTTAAAGATGCCTTCAGCTTTAAGCCGGTACTTTTTATAGCTATATAACAGCTCTAATATTTTGTGACATTTTGTATTGTGACACTATAGATGAAATTGTCATCGGACTGACACCCTGTGCTGTTTATTCCTTAATTACAACTGTTAACACTGCAGAGAAGTGTGCTAATCTGCCAGCACATATTATGAAAACAATGTTATTGTTACCCACACCAACACCCACTCAACAGGACATTCCCAAGATGGCAGTGAACAAGGGACGTGTTGCACAGTGGATGCTTGACTAGGTTTTTGTTATAGTGAGGGCTTGTGTGAGTTTTAACTCATCCCATTGTCTACTTTAAAAAATACAAATGACCTCAGTGTGGGGGCTCATACCTGTAATCCCAATGCTCAGAAGCTGAAGCAGGAGGATTGCTGTGACTTCAAGACCAGCTTTGGCTATAGAGTGAAACTCTGTCTTAAAGACAACACAAAATATAAGGGAGAATAATCTTTAAAACAGGACGACAAAACCACAAGTTTGCAATTCAGAATAGTTTGCTGCAATGCCCGTGCAGGCAACCTCCCCGAAGCTGCCTCCACAGTTAGAATAGTTTTACATGTAAGAGAATGTTAACAGAAAGGAGTGGGGAGGGCAAGTTAAGAGATAACACCGATGGTGAGGTTATTTGTTTTCACAAGGTTGGGAGTCTTCAAGCCAGTCAGAATTCAGTAGCCATTTCCAGCTCTCGTAGGTCTTTTTCAAAATTATATCGAGCAGTCCTGTAACCGGCTACATAATGAACCCTTTGTAGATAAAATCTCAGAGAAGCCTGTCTGAGGCACCCAATCCTGTGAATCCATTTTCTGATAACCATACGGACAGGAGCAACTAAGCAAGGAAGACTTTTATCCCTGTAAGCAAACCCACCCCTTGTGCCTGTTCCCATGGTGAGTAATGGAAAACTAGACAAGGGTGTAATGAGGGCAAATGTTTTAAACACACACACACAACACTGATCTAATACCATCTTTAACAAACACCCCATCTTAGCATTCATTTTTAACACTTTCATTGGCAAATTTACAACCTTGAACTAGTCTAACCTGAGACTTTTCAGTGGACGCTTACACTGACATTGCAATGAAAAAAAGCACATTTATTCCCTAAAGTCCCTGTCATGACTAGTTTTTATCAGATAGTTGTTTTTTTGATTTTGTTTTTGTTTTCTGAGTAACATACGAAGAAGTTATCACTTCGCCTCGTTTTGAATGGTGTATCCTGCCTCATTTTGAATTTCACCACCAATTGGATATGGTGCTCTTCCTAAAAGGAATTGCTCCCACTTGGGGACATATTCTTCTACTGATGCCCAGTAACGCGTCTGAAAAAAAAAGAAAGAAAAAGAAAAGTAAGAAAGCATAGCAAGCCATTCAACTCAGCTCTCCATAACAATCTAAATGTTTATTATCTTCAGTGTGTATGTGTGCATGTACATACTCTCACACATATATATGTAGAGTACATTTCCTCTACAGAACATTTTATGCTAATTTTAGGGAAAAAAACTGGCTACTTACTAGTGTTAATTTTAAATTTCTCAGCAAACCAGAGCCTGGTAGAATTAAGGTTTTAAATTTTATTGTGATTTTACACGCCCTCTTGTGGCCAGCTTTGTGATTATTAACAGTACTGTCATTTATGGTACCTGTTATTAAATATTTTGTTTACTCTTCTAGATTCCATAACCTGGATTATCCATATGGAAATGACCGCAAAGATTATACATGAACAGTTCCTCAGAACTCATGGGGGATCTATGACATGGACCGAAGAATAGGATTGTAACTAAAATACAAAGCGCTCCTAAGTTGACTCCTCAGGTACATGGGATGTTACATATCCACCCAACTTTTAAAAGAATACTTGACAGGACAAATAGTCATTTTTCTTAAAGTTGTGTGTGTGCAAATGTGGTGTATGTGTATGCTGTATGTGCACATGTATGCGCACATGGGAGATCCCCTCTATCACTCTCTGCCTTATTCCTTTGAGACAGCGCCTCTCTGATCCTGGACCTAGTCTGGCAGCCAGCAAACCCCAGTGGTGACCCTCCCATATCTCACCCCTGCACCTCTGAGGTTACAGACATGCAGGGCCACATCTGGCTTTTTAGATCAGTGCTAGGATTCAAACTTGGGTCTTCTTGCTTCTGTAGCAAGTACTCTTACCTGCTCAGCCATCTCTCCAGCTCTTTAGACTTTTATAAGGAGAAAGTAACTAACATAGTGTACCCATTTTGATGGAAATGACTTGCAAGTCGAGATGCTGTATATGTCTGACTACTGTGGTCTACAGGCTGTAGAAATCCAAGTAGTACTGCTACACTGCGTGGAGGAGCTTTGATGGGCTTGGAGTGACTGCCAAGGAGGCCAAAGTTTGCACCACAGGATGGCATTTTCTATTGAATCAACACGATCAGTTTTTTGGGGGTAATTCTGCTCTTAGTCAGATAGCACCAGGAATGCATATAGTGATTCTGCTGTTTGAACATGGTGTGAGAGACTCTAAATATCTATACATCTGTGCATGTGGTCTCAGAAACAGCCTGACATACTTAAGATAAAGGTTATCCTGCTGTGCCAGAGAAGTTCAGAATACCATCCAAGGCCAGAGACAGGGGCTTCTGTGCCATTCACGGCTGAATTAACCACTATTGTGTGGGCCCTGTATGTACTAAAATAAGGCATTGGTGAATTCAACAAAGGAGGGCATACCCAATGCACAACCTTGTACCAGAGTTTTTCTGCATATGATCACTGCTTTTTCTTGTTACCCTATATGACACAGAAAATTGAGGGGCAGGTTCTCAGCCTCACTTTTGAATCTATTCTTATCCCCAGTTGGGCAAAAAGGAAAATGACATCTGAGAAAGCTTATTAGAAGTAGAAAATTTAACTATTCTATATGTAGTGGATTCCCACCCAACACAAACATCCATAGACTAAGTGTGGCTCCCTTTTGCCAACCATCTCCCCAATCTGCTTCTGGAAACTGAGCTAATAAAACTGTTTGCACTATATGGTAAGCATGGCGATAGACATTTATTTCCTCTTTTTTTAATCTTCCTTTTTTAATTCTCTCACTATGTAGACTCACAGCAGTCTCCTGCCTCAGCTTCCACCAGTCGTACTAGTAATGAAGCTTAGGCCACATCCTAGGCAAGGAACTCCTTATATTTCCATCAAGCACTCCTTGGTTGGGCATGCTATCACTCAGGAGTCAGGGCATATTCAACAGGACAGTTGCTTCAATGTGACAAGAGTGAGAAGACAAGATGTTTTATAACATTTCTGTTCTGTTCCCTGAGCCTTGGTTAATATTGATGTACCACTTAGGGATGTGCACTGTTCTCATTCTCTCATTCTCTCATTCTCAGCACCATGACCAGTTCTGCTTCTGCACTGACTGCTGCCCACTGCAGAAAGAAGTTTCTCTGACCAAGAATGACTGCGGTCAAGGTCTATGGGTATATGCATAAATATTTGGAAGACAATTTGACAACATGGCCATTTAGTAAAATAACAATATTCTAGGGCCTATAACCTCCATAGTCATGGAGCTTTGATGGGGATTTTAATATTAGGTGAGAAATTCCATCCTGTGGAGCAGTCTCAAATTCAATCAGAAAGTAGTTATCTGCCCCCATAACAGCTGTGACACTACTACAGAAACAGGCACATCTTGCCTGGCAGATTGGTTCTGCAGCATGTAAGGTTCGCCACTAGAGAAGACCATCCATGTCTTTTCTCTCCCAGAAGTCTGTACAGCACCTTCTAACACTATGAAACCTACCCAGTAGGGTTTGAAATTCATTCGTCTATGTCTGGAAGCCAAGTGTATGGTGTCTTCAGCAACAGAGTCTTGCCATGCATTCATGGTAGGTAACCAAGTGTGATGGCAATAGTAATATGCTTTGTTGTCTTGAAGACCTCTCAGGATTCTTGACCAATAACTCATAGGAAGCTACCCAATTTTCATTTAAAAACTCACATGTCTTCTCGGAGTGACACTGTTTACCTCTTCAGGACAATTCCATTAGCAAAGAAGGCAGAAAGAATGTAGAAGTCAGAGGATGGCAATGGATGCTCTGAAATGATGTCTTCTGGACATAACATGACTATCACAGTCATGAGCACATAGCTGCTCAAGACCAAGCCAGCCAAAATCTTGGCATAGATGGGGTAGATGATCTCCAGGCCCCATGACACACTTAAAAAAAAACTACTGGTAGAGGGAGACTCACTCTTTGATGAGGATGTGGTAGCTGAGAGGTTTGCCATGTTCCAGTGAATTTTTCACATTTATGCACATAAGGGCAGCTCTAACTGGACTTAAGAGATTTTACAAAGTACGTGTGTGTGTGTGTGTGTGTGTGTGTGTGTGTGTGTGTGTGTGTGTGTGTGTTGGGGGAATAGGTAGGGGGATAGAGAAAAATCTGTATACATTGCTGAGTATTTCAGATATTAAAAACATCATTCCATTAGAGAAGTGGATGGCTTAGGAGGTTAATACTTGCCATTGAGCCTGATGACCCGAGTTTGATCCCCAGAATCCACATGATGGAAGGAGAGAAACAGCCCTCAAAGGTAGTACATATGACCTCCACATATGTACCACAACATGTGTGCATGCATGTGCACTTGCATATGTACATATGCTGCACACATGCGTGCACATACATGTACATAAAACTGGATGTAGATTAGATACATTTTTTTTCATCAAGATATGCTTTAATTACCAGCTGTATATAAAACATTGCACTATGGACATAAAAATATTAGCCAAACTCTTCTTGCTTATTTTACTGACAAAGTAAACCTGGGCAATATAACTGTGCAGCCCTTGTTTAACTTGTAGGGAACTTACGGTTACTTTCATTACAGTTAACTGGGGGGGTCTTACCTCAAGAGAACGTACCGCAGGTTGTGGATATGGCTTAAGCCTTGTCTGTAAGGACTTCTCTGAAGCTTCTATGTCCTACAACAGACACCAGCATTTAAAACTGAAATGTGTTTACCTACAACATAAATGGTGCCTACACCCCTAGTGTCTGTATCCCAAATCTCTCACCTCAGCCCTTCTCTGGATACATAGTGAGTATGTGATAGAGGGACACAGAGGTAGGAGACCTGATTACAGATCAATTAACCCACTTCCACTATGAGTGCAAGGTATCTTATTTAATATGGGAGTACTTGTGGTACTTTTGTGTTCTACTATTTTACTTTGAATAACTGGTAAACAACAGAAATTACTTTAGAAAAAAAGTGCTTCCTTTAAAAATGCTCAGAGTTGGATATGGTGAAACATGCCCATAACCCCAGAACATGAGAGGCTATGGCAGGAGGGCTGAGTTCAAGGCAAGTCTACACTACATAAGGAGTCTCTGAGACAAAAATCAGCACAGCAAAAAATGATCAGAGCATAAATTACAAGAGCTTTGAGATAACCTGAAAACAGGCAAAGCGATAGATAAAACAATGATGCACTGAGATACAACACTAGATATTCAGATTCACACTATGCAATGCACAGCTTAGTCTCTGCAGCTGATGTGATTAGCATATTAATGGCACATATTTTATCAGTATTGTATTTTAGAATGTTATACCATGGAAATATTTCACATAGTTAAGGCTGCACAATGAATTATTTTTACTACTTTGTAACTTTTTTTAAATATGCTACTACACATATAATTTTTTGACATTTTGAAACAATATTATCACCTACAAAGTCCATGTTTGAGAACTACATAATCAAGTTACCCTGCTCTCATCTCATGATGGTTTAAGAGTAAAAGTTTGCAATTCTGTGTTGGACTGTATCATAGCTATCCTTGGCCATGTGTAGCTCTCGGGCTGTGGGCACCCACAGGTCTTTAGGACTGGATTTTAATGTTAATTTAAATGGAAAGTGTCATTATCAGGCAGTAAATTGTTTAGTGCATGGCATTCACCAATGGGAAGTGTCACTGCCAGGCAGCAAATTGCCTAGTGGATGGCATTCACCAATAGGAAGTGTCATTGCCAGGCAGTACATTGCTTAGTGGATGGCATTCAACAATGGGAAGCATCATTGCTAGGCAGTATATTACTCAGAGAATGGCATTCAAGGACCATACTTAAATCTGTAGTATATTAGATGAGTTATTTTCCTTTATGGTTGTAAAGACAGCAGGGCAATTAAGCTTAACCTGGTATAATTTTTCTTCCCTACACACTTTAAACATGCATGCAGAAATGTAGGGTTCTGCATGTTGTTACAGAAATATTTGAGTCTGTTAATGTTCCCCAAACCTGCACCTCTGCTGTCTAGAGAACACTTACTATGTTAAGTTCACAGAGGTCTGGGTGCAAGGCTAGGCAAATTCTGTGTCTCCCTTAGTGAATTGCTTGCTAGCAAAAAGTTCTCTTGATCTATGTACACGCATCAGAGCAATCTAAGTAGAGGGCTGTTGGACAGACGGAGAGAAATGGAAGAGGGCGTGGGAGTGGGGTGTGAAGAAGCCAATGCTGAACAGGAGAAAAAAGATAGCAGATGGTAGCGGCGGGAGCAAGGGATGGGTGTGAAATGTAAAAAGAAAAACAGGAAATTCCCTAAAGGGACTCCCCAAAGTTGCACAACCATTAATGCACCTGCTATCTAGGGGAAGGTGATTTGAAGGAAAAAAATACACAATTTAGGGATATAAAAGCTGATGTTAGCATGTCTATCCCTTACCATAAGTTTACAGCTAAGATGCATGCTAAAGATACATTTTGATGCCATGACAGTACAAACGTCTGACTCTTCTCTGATTTTTACTGAGACTTTACAAGGTTTATAAAAGTTATATTTTATTGTTAGTAAATAAAACACAAAATCATTCCATCATTTGTGCCAGGACTCTAAGAACAGGTCCACTGTTCCTGTCAGTGGCAGATCTGTGTGACTCTTAGCTCTGGTATTACCAATATTTTTCCTGAAGACAGGAAATAGGGACACTGAATATCTCTTGCAGAGAAGTACATGTGCAAACAAAAGAGCAGACATCAGCAGAGGCAGATCCTGTTAGCATTACCCACACCATCACATCATTGAAAGCATCCTTAGCACAAACCACTTGAGCTCTTAGATGCTTTGCTGACCTCATTCTCCTCTATTGCTGCCTTGGTGTGGGCTTTCTCAAGATGTGTGAAATCTGGTTTCCTATGTTTACTCTGACTTCCTTTGTGACTGCCTTTTACGCAGCCTCAACCATTACTGTAGAGGAGGGCTAGGCTTCTACCCCACCACTCCCTTCTCTACTGGGTAAAGACCCTTGTTGAGTGAGCTGAGTGGTGCTGGGTATCAATAGCCATGTGCCCCTGGTGCACCCTCCATCTTCATGCTATCTTACTCCTTGCTAGCAGGCCTACAAAGCTCTCTGTTCTTTAAGGATGCTTTTCATTGTCTCCACTTCATTCCCAGTGTCATGGTCTTATTACTGATTTAGTCACTCAAGAGCTCCCCAAGTACTTGTTTTGAATTGTGCCAAGAGAATATAGTTTTATTTTGTAACTGCCCTAAGATTGACCTGTTGGTTAAACAACCACTTGAAATTTATCCTCATGTACCTTAGACTGAAAAACAGTTGATACTCAGTAAACAGGATGAAATGTGACTTCCCTTTGGAGGAATGGAGTAAAACAAATGAACAAAAAGACCACAATTTGATTAGCACATTCTGTACCAAGTTATATCCTGAAATTTCCATACAAGGCCTCCTCTTTGACAGCCATACACATGGCCAGAGGTATAGAGTATGTCACATAAAACTTTTATGTGCACATAAATAATCAATGAATAAATAGCCACAATGTCAAAGTGTCCTGAGCAAACTCAAAAACTTAAAAAGAAAAAGACAAAAGGGGGGAAGAGTAAAAGCAGGTTAGATCTAGCCGCCCATAAATCATTACTGTATTTTAAAGATCTGCCACTAGACCCTTTAAAGTTTGAGCAGTTATGTAACAGGAAAAAGCAAGCTTCAGATATTGGCAACCAAGTGAAAAAGATGTACTATATTGTTGACGGTGTAACCATTAGCTGGCCTTGGAGCATAGTACTGACTGAATTTCCCTGGTAGGAAAGCCCTAGAGTCCAAAGTATCTTACTACAAAGCACATCTGGTGGTCAGAATGGTGCCAGGAGTGATGTCTGTATCACCAGGCTGAGCCAGTGCAGTAGTCGCCCTCATCCTTTGTTTTGTTATCCAGTTTCAGTTTCCATGGTTAACAGTGGGGTGTAGATATCAAATTGAAAGTTGGGGACTAAGGGTGCATCTTACTAGTACAGTGCTAGCACAGCATGGATGAGGCCTTGGTATTAATCTCAATCATTCTGCATGGCATAATGAAAGTTCATGGCTTCCCACTCTGTTGGCCTGGGCTGCATAAAATCTCTTTGTCAGTACATGCACATTATATATGCTACATTGGTTACTTGCAGTTGTTTGGGATGTTAGATTGGCCTTTGAAGTATCATAGAGCTTATATCTAAGTAACCCGTATGTAGTAGGCAAATACTGGGTCACTCACCTCACTTTCATGTAATCACAGAGGCACAATTTTATATCACAGGAAGGGTTAGTACAATATAACATCTTGAGAGTGCATCCATGCAGCTTTCATTAGAATGTAACCATTCTACTTTATTGTTGTTGCTACTTTATTGTTGCTAATTCTTTTCTGTGCCTTACTTATAAATTCAGCCCCATTACAGGTGTGCAAATATAAGGAAGGAAGAGCAGTGTACATAGGATTTGGCATTATCCATGGTTTCCGATGTCTACTGGGAAGTCCTGGAGCATATGCCCCACAGACCAGGGAGACTACTGCATACAAGTATACTGGTGTTGGGGAGCTCATTGGTACCAAGTATTTGAGTTTTTTAAACAAGGTCTTACTGTGACTCTGGCTTGCCTCAAATTTACAGCAGTTATGCTTCAGCCTCCCAAGTCCTGGGATTATAGGTGTGAAACACCACAGTTCAGTACTGAGGTTTCTGTTATAAGAGGGAAAAGTAAGGGGCAAAAATGGTTTTAAGTTAAAAACCTTGCAATCCTTTGCCTGAATTGGAATTACTGATAGGAACTCTTGTTGTATCTTATCTTAAAAAGGAAAATCAAAGAAGTTGCAATAAATAGTCCCAGTGCCCAGATTGAGAGCTCTAAATATATTTCCTGCCAAAAGGAGCCAAAGCTCCTTGAAGCAATGACCAATTCCAAGTCTGGATGGCAAGTACAAGAAACCAGAACTTATCAGGTCAGAAAGAAAGGAAACTATTGAAGACAAGACTGTTACTACATGATTAAGACATTCAGGGCTAACTTGGAGAAGCTTCCATTTGGTAAGAATGGCGTAATCTGTGTATAAAAAGACACAAAGAACTGAAACATTTCAAATCTCAGAAAGTTAAAAGCAAAGCAGTACACGCACAAGTCACCCTCAAGGAATGGTGGGAAACCGGCCTGTTTTAAAAACGAAGTGCAGGGACTGGAGAGATGGCTCAGTGGTTTGGTTGCTAGCATCCAAATCAGGTACCTCACAAGTTGCCTATAATCCAGCTCCAGGGGATCAGATGCCCCCTTCTGGCCTCCACAAGCACCTGCACTCATGTGCACAGCACATAACTAAAATCTTTTAAAAAATAACAATACAAGGTGGGAAATGTGGCTCAATGATTGTCTAACATGTACAAGGACTAGATTTAATTTCCATCTCTGAAAAACATACTAAATTCAAAAGTATTCAGTATATTGTTTCCTACATTAACTGTATGTAATTAGGTAACTGATGTGGGGCAGATTCTCTTTAAACAAATAAAAATCAGAAGTCACGCTGGGCATTGGTGGCACATGCCTTTAATCCCAGCACTTGGGAGGCAGAGGCAGGCAGAACTCTGTGAGTTCAAGGCCAGCCTGGTCTCCAGAGCAAGTGCCAGGATAGGCTCCAAAG